TGGCTGTTGGATGTTGGTTAGTTTCGTTGTTTATTTTGTTAGCTTATTTGTTCTTTGGTGGCAGTGTCACTGTAGTCCCTCATTGCTTTTATTTAGTAGCTACGGTTACAACTTTGTCTAGAGCCTTAGCTCTGTCTGTACTTGTGCCTGTGCTTGGGTGTACTAGTGCTTGTCAGGATGGCAGTGGCAGTTACTATCTTTGCGGTACAGGTTTAATATTTAGGGTTTTACATTTTACATTCTCCGCATTGCAGTAGAGAGAATTTAGTTTTCAAAATAAGTTTAAATTGACTTTGATGTTCACAAGTTACGCAGATACAAAGTCAAAACGAAAAGGAAATGATTTGACTTATTTGCAGCCGTGGGCTATTTTCTCATTTTGAATTAAAATTTGATTTGATTTAAATTTTAGCAGTACGAGTACTGCGTTCCTCGTACTGGCGGGGTACGAGCGCACAAGGTGAGAGTTGGGTGAAAGATAAAAAGATATTTTATAGCTGCCGGGAAATTATTTTGAAGAAGATTTGTAGATACACACTTTTTCTCTGATTTTTCACTTTTTTCTCTACTTTTCTGGTAAAGTCAAGCTACCTAACGATTTGTTTGTTGCAAAATTTCAAAAGCAAGTTTTGACAGATCCTACTTAAGAGATGTTGATTTGAATTGCTTCGTTTAAAACAGTGTACACAAGCCGTTTTAATTTGATCTGAATTAAAAAGAAAATAAAATAAACTAAAATAAAAAAGTGCCCTACTAAAAACAACTACAATAACAACAACAATGGTAACTTTAGTAATTCGGTAAAACCGAAATTAAAATTACCAATAAAATTTGCCTCACATAGATGTGATTTCTATATCCTTGTTACAAACGAAATGACTTTAATTTTATGGAATGAAGTTATAAAAATATTTGAATACACTCAGGAAATATAAATAGATAAATTTGTTCAGTTTGACCAATTGGAAACAAGAAGAAGAAGAAACGATTTTGTTCAAAGTGCGGTGAAATGGAGTGTTGATAGTGTGAAAGGCGCTCTAGGTCAATTAAAATAGATTAAAAACAAATGGAAAACACACTTATTTTTAAGATTAAAGTAACTTTTGAATGCATATTAGATGCAATTTATAAACACAAGGAAACTATAAAATAAACTATAAAAAATCAACTAAAAAAAAAGGTTATATATATTTGGTACCGGGCATATCAGTAAAATTAGTGAATGGTAAAAACACGTTTGATTGCAGAAGTTTGATGCAGGGCATGACCAATCACCTCAAAATCCTTGTGGCATTACAAACAGTACTTACCTAATAGTCTGTTATTATTCAGCAATTCGCTGTGGGTTATACGTTAGGATATTAAAAGTATACCATACAGAAATATTAGATGATACATACCATCTTCATCGGTTTTTAAAACATTTGACACATTACTTTACTACGCCATGCGGACACCACCTGAATGCAAGTGAGTCTTTCGAAACCAGATGATCCTGGTAAAGTACCTTACTTGATCGCACAACGAGCATCAAAGTAAGTGCGCGTATTAATGTGAACACGAACATCTACGTTTGAAGATATGTAAATATTGCCTCTGTAATGCCCTTAGAATTGTCATAAGAATGCAAACTACTATGGCCACAACTACTATATCCAATGGAGCATTTAGACTAGTATTTAGACTAGTTGTTATTAGTTGCCGATAACTGTTTCAGTCAGTATTTTTGATCTGAAGAATATATTTTTCCATAATTGCACAAAAGGTCCTTGTGGGTAATGATTGTCGGCTCATAGTCAGATGTCAAAATTGGAGTTACAAGTATTTGTTTGGTTACATACCACCCTTACAATTGCAATATCAATAAGGGCAGGTATTTTTCTTCTATCCATTGGGCGGAATGTGGGCTCACCTGTTGGGATTGAGTAAATTAATTGATTCGAAAAGTTATGACCGTTTCAAGTTGTTTAGAGATACTAGGCGGGAACCCCATTTTAAGTGTTTGGTATTAATATCTTCTCCTACTAGAAACCAAGATCCCAGCAACTGAAAAAATGATACGTAGGTACTGTGTCGTGGCGCACTTTAGAGGGATGAGAAAGTTATGTCGCCTACTTTTTGCCTACTTTTGTCATTCATGCAATATGGTTTTATTTCATAATGTTTTGTCGATTTCCTTATGAGGACCGTTGAGCCATCATTCGCTGTACCATTAAGATGCATTGTGTGATAAAGTTTGCTATTGGCGTTCCATATGCTGGTTAGTAAATTGGTCATTACTATGATTTGATGCATCATTTTTTCAACAGCATTGTCATCTCACGGTATTCTCCTACAAAAATATTTGACTTAATCCATAATGCTCACTGCTTGCACGTTTTGGGTGAGGTGGTTCGAATATTACAGTAGTATACAACAATTTGTTAATCGGTTAAGTATTCTTATTGTCCAGGTTTGGAGCAAGTTCGACAATGAACATGAGAAAAGGTTTCTTCAAATAAAGACAAAAATCGTTTTAATATTGCACCTAGTACAAATAACAAAAAAAAATACTAATAAGTACTAATAAGGTACTAATAAGCAATTTATTTGATTTGAATATTTAGTGTTAAAAAAATGAAGCTATTTTGCTACTCGCTGTCCATTAAGTCTGCCACTGTTTTCCTTTTTAGCCGTCAAGGTATTGCAACCACCTGGAGAAAATTTCATCAATATCGCCAAATTTTTCAATATAACCCCAAAGCTTCGCTCGATTTCTGGTTTGTAAGTGTAGAATTCTTTATTTTTGAGCTCTAACTGCTTTACATTGCTTACGTAAGAGTCAGATATAAAAGGTTGAACCCTTACTTGACTTGGACTTTGCACTTTCAAATTGAATTGATCAGGTGCATGTTCATTTAGTACACATGTATTAGAGGCTTGATGCAATGTACCTTATTAATGAATATTGGTAAAGGTTTTAGTATTTTTGATGATTTGCGTATCGGTTAAGTTGGACTGGTCCATTTGACCAGTATGAGTCTAGCTTGATTTGCTTCTAGCTTGCTTGATTTTTACTTCGACTGTCACGTTGACGTTTACGATGTCAGCGACTGAATAGATTTGGCATTTCTTTCACTGAATATGACCTTTAAATTGCAACCGCTTGATCAGGGATTAACTCAAAATTTAAAGAGTAACTATCGCAAGAGAATCGTAAAGGAAACACTAAAGCATACAGAAGCAAAACAAAAGTGGAATATAATCCTTATGGATTGCATAAATCATGTCACAAAAGCTGCAGATATAAATCTAAGTAGTCGAATGATAGGGCACTGCTTTCAAAAAGCTGGATTTGGCCAATTTTCCTCATGAGACAAACAGGACGATATTTCTTCAGTTTTGAATAACATTGATGAAGACTGCAAATTGATAGAACAGAATTATGAAGATTTGTTTAAAGTTAATAAAATAATTTCCAATGTTACTGTTAACGATTATATTGAGCTTGATAGTGAAATTTGTACATCAAGCTTTCCAATTCTAAGCGCAACGGAGAGTGATGATGAGGCTTCGGTGGATGAAATTGTTCATCAGCTTTCCAAGAATTAAGTAAAAAATTTTATTTAAAATTCTGAAATTTTATTTGCAAACAAATGAACTACAACTAATGCTCACTGTAAGACTTGGAATAAATTGGAATCTCTTTTTGCTGAAAATAAGAAAAAAAAATTGAAAACCCAAACCCTAAGTTCTGAATACTTTACCCCACTATAACTTGTGCCGTATTTGGTTTCAAATAAATAAATAAATATCTGCAAATATAATTCTAGTTTCTTTCAAAAATAAAAAAAATATAAAAAACTTCTCCAACTCGAAGTCTCCATAAGTCAACTCCATGCCTTTGCAAAATGGTACTTCGAGTTATGGAAGTTTGACAGTATATATAATAAAATATTATGTTTCTTTATAAAATATTACCTGCATATCTGAAGGGAAGCTATTGTATGTAGATACTTCAGATTTCGTAGCAAAATAGGATCACAGTTTTCATCACGATTCATCAACGAATTATGGTTAAACCATTTGAAGTAAACGTGTCAGAATTTAGGATTAGGTACATGAAGATTCGACCCAGCGAAAACCGAGAAACCCTAAATACTTTCAGTACTCGTGTTTGTTTTATATATCAAAGGGTAAAACTAATTTCCTTAGAGTGTCTATCATAAGTGAAATCATATATAGGCTTCATATTACTTCGTACTTCAAGGGTAAGGATAAGTAAGTGTTTCATGAATTTCCAAATTTTAGTGAAGAACATTAATGGAAAATTAAAAATTGTTTATAGATTTATTTAGTTTTTCATTGAATTATTAAATTCTATTAAATTTATTTTTTCCCTCGAATATTCAACGTTATTTTTTTTGAGTATTAATTTTTATGACCGCCGCGGCGCTGAGTTGAGCACACTTAAAAGAAATTTGATGACATCTTTGTTTAATATTGTTTTTCCCTTTATATTGAATTTTTATTGCACTTTCCTTAATTTTGAATTTTATATTTCTTTTCGCAATTTTTATGACATCCGAAAAATCCTGCTTTCTCAAATATTGATTTCCGTTTTTATATTCGCAACAACTAAGTCATTTCCTATTTGATGACTGTTATGACTTTGTCAGGATTTTTGCTCCTTCCACATAAAAGCAATTTCAAATTGGATTCATCCTCGAATCGAATCGAATCGATGACCAGAAAAGGCAACGAACTAATATCTGAAATAGGAGTAGGGAAATACTCCTATTTTGCACATTAAACTATACTAAGGAGGAAGTTTTTATTTAGCACAATAACTTTAAATAAATATGATTATTTCATTACTATTTTTATTGAGTCTCTTTAAATTGCAATTAATAATCAAAATTTAATAAATAATTGAATAATTGATCATTAACTTTTAAATTAAATGTTGAACAATTTAATTAATTAATTTAATTAATACTTTTTCATAATGCAATATTTTTTGTTAAATTTGTTAAAATGTTGTTTGAAAAACAAAAGTTTCCTTCATTTCTTTTTTGAGTATTTATGTATCAGAGAGGACAGACTTTAGCCTAGAGGTCAACGTATTGTTCCTAAAGGATTTTTATATAATGTTACAATGTTACTGATTAAGATATGTTCTGGGTTGTGTCTGCCTCTAAGAGGAACCTATGTAGAAAATATAGTAAATATTAAAATTTGCAAATTTCAAAACATTTACGATTGAACTTACCAATTGTTATTAACTTTTGGCTATTGTTTGTTTTTTATTGATTATTGTTGATTTTTGTTCTGCTCCTGGGCAACATTTGCAGTGATTTTCAAAGAGCCCGGCAAGTTTCTTCCTGCATGACTTTTTGGCAAGTTAACGCTTAAACAGGGATTAGAATCAATTGCTGCAAGTCCTTGCACTGCATCCGCATCATTTGGTGGACTGCCTGCTGGAAGCTGACAATCAGATTGAGTTTCAGTAATAATCTTAACTGATTGCAATTTTCCTTCAGCTGGGTTAACATTCACACCAGTATTTGGAGTAGCAGCTTTATTTTGAACATTCCCACCTGCTTCTGCATTCATAGCAACAATACCAATTGCCTTCAGGGACGCACTTATATCAGCAATACGACTTAGAGCAGCAGCTGCGCTAGTGCCGGGCTTAGCAAAATCATCGACAACAGTGTTTGCGTGAGTGTTAGTGAATTGGTTTGCGGAGCTGCAATAGATCATGTCACCGTTGTTATATTCAGTTTCAGTCTGCAAGTGAACATCTCTATAGTTAGCACGTCTAGTTCCAGCAGACATTGCAGATTCTTGAGAATCATTCCTCTCTTCAATGTTTTCGATTCCCACTAATTGGCAGTACTTATTGAATGCATTTGAAGCTTTCTTTTGTGCAGCAAACATTGCCTCAAGTTCACTCACTGCATTCATTATTACTTCCTGAATTTTTTCGTATGGATTCGAGATTTCACCTTGCGCGTCTTCTGATGAACCATTATCCGGAATTTGTTTCGGTTGTTCAGCTCCTTCTTCAGAAGGAGTCTTACTAGCATTAAGTAAACCTGCAGACTCTGGTGGTATGGCTATTGAACTGGACGAAGCATTTTCAGCTAAATTTTTCAATGGAATAATTTCGCCTATCATATTGGATACCACTTGTGCCCCTTTAACTAACTTCAAAAACAGTTCACGCAATTTATCAACTATTGACGTTTCTAGTTTGGCATCGCTTGGATTTTGGATCATGCTACCTTCACCTGCTGGTAAGTTATCAATTGGGACTTGGTTTACTAGATTCTGAATGGGAATTGCATTGATTGATGAAAGCAGCATTTTGTAGGAAGCAGCACATGTTGACTCTTCCATTTTATCTACTGCTTCAAAATTGGCGGTATATTTTCTAGAGAAGTTTTCTACAGTGGATTGTATCATTTTGCGCAATAGTTTAATAATTTTTTCCAATTGTCCTTTTGCAAGCAAGAAGTAGTTGTCTAAACTATTAGCAGCAGTAGTGGTAATACCCTCGGCCGTGCCGCCACCTGCAGCTTCATACTCTAATAGCAATTGAGTGAACGACTTAATAACTTTTTGTAAATTCTGCATTAGTGCCTGCATATCATATTTCATTCTATAAATTGCAATGTGCACTACCAGGGAAAATTATGCATTTTTATCATAACCTTAAATGTTTCTATATATAACTATATTTCTTACCTGGGAGTTTTTGAGCAGCGCCAAAAAAAGGAACCTCCATTTTGTTTAAAGTAGTACTGATTTAAATACAATACTAGATGAACTACTAAATTACCAAGACAGTACTTTAGTTGAAAGTAGCAAACAGAAATTTCAGAAATATCACAGACGCACTTGTCAAAGTCCAGTGTTGCCAACAACACTTTTCTATAATACACTTTATTGTGGGGAGCAGATATATGCGTAACAAATTTATTCAGTTTTTATTTTCTTTGTTAAAAATTGTGTCAAAACTAAATGAAAACTATTTATTATACATGTAAGATTTATTCAGTATTTTTAGAAATTGAAAAAACTAAGCAGAGTTGATACTCATTTTTCACTGAAATACTGTAAAGTAAGAAAAGATACCAAGCGTAACAGTTGATTGCGTCAAAAACTTTGATCGTGGCTGGCGATTTTGAGCTCAAAACCAGTTCCCAAAGCTTGCTTTCTCATTTGAGAATAGCCACAACCAAAGCTTGACTTTTATTAAAAGTTAGCTTCAGTTAACATCTTTTTCGGAACATAGCGCTAAGAAATGATATATCTGTTACCGATATGGTATTTATTCGTAGGATGTATACCGAAACTCATACCAAGGAAAACGTAAACAGACTCAAAACGTGGCCAAATACGAAGCTAGCAAAAACACAAAAACAACTGCCAAAATGAAAATCCGAAACGATGATATGAACGCTTAGGTACATTTGGAAACTGACTTAAGTAAAGTTCGATAGTGTAAGCTTCAAATGTAAACGTAGTACTATGCAGAGAGTTAAATCTTAATAGCAATTTCGTACTTCTACTACTATTTTGATCCTTTTTTTTGCACCTAGAAGGCGTTAATTTTATGTGGTTATCTAAATGCATACATCAATATAGGTATACCTATTTACTCCAAAAAGCCACAAATTTATTTACTTCTGATAGAGCAACACTGTTTTATGAACATGACGTGGCACAAAAAGTTTCGTTGACAGTTTGTCTCTTTTACTCATTCTCAATTTGTTCGTTTACATTTGAAACAACAACAGTTTCACATGACCACGTGACCCTGGCAGTCTGGTGACGAGTTAGCAACATCATGGGGAACAGGATTGTTATTTCAAAAAAAATTTGACAAATTTATCTAATTGTTAAAATTAGATAAGCTAGTAAATTAGTTACTGAAAAAGTAACATAACATTTGTTCAATTTTTTGTTATTTTTAAGAAAATCTTGGAAAGATATATTACGTGCATTCAAATACATCCAACAGATAATGAAATAAGCTTTCATTAACAGTAGAGAATATAAATTTAGAGTGGTGGTTCATTTTAAAAGCTTACTTCAGAACAAAAAAAGGAATATACGCAATGCATTAGCTACTAATCCACCCACTCCCTTCAAAATAAAGTTCTATCAAAGGGAGTATGAGCCATTAAAGAAAGTATAAAGCGTTTGGGTTGAAAATTTGGCTGATAATGTCGACGAAAGCAAGCTTCGTGAGATTTTTCAACCAAAATTTGCAACTTTCGTGCATACTAAGATCATTTATAATGTCTTTGGAAACAGCAAACATTATGGATTCTTAGCCTTTACCTATAAAGAAGACCAAATAGCTTGTTTGGCTCAAAAAGATATATACGAGTATGCTAGTCATGGACAAAGGCCGACATAAATTCGCAGCGTTCTTACAGAGTTGCCATACCACACACAATAATTGCAATTTTCTACATTTTTTAAATTCTTTCTAATTTTCAAATTCTTGTAAACTTATTTAAAATAATTAAAAACTGATTTCTTTTTTTTTTCTTTTTTTTTCCTTATTAAAATAAATATACTACAAAAAATGAATATATATGCAGCAGATGTTTTTTATAAAAGAGTCTTAACTATAATGCAAATAAGCAGGGGTAGAAAGTTATTTATAATAAATTTCTGTCTATGTAGGTGGTGTTAAATAATATTTTATAATATCCCTGCGTCACAATAAATGAAAAGTTTAAGTATATTCGAATTCAAATATTCCAGTCAAATTCTGTGAACGCCACCAGTCACCACATACCATGATCACTCAAAATATTTGAGATCCAATCAGTAACATATATGATGCAGGATCCATGCCTAATTACTGCATGCAACATCAAGTCATTCCGGTTGTTTAAGAAATATCAATTTACCATGAAATCATGGTAAAGTAACTTAATTATCGGTGTGAATACAAGGCATATAAATTACACGGCACCGACTGAATATTAACAAGTAACAGCATATGGGTTTGTGCGTGAGCTGAGCAAAGGGCTGAAGAGATGATGGTACATATGTGGGTAAGTAATGTAACAAACTTACTCTATTGATATATCTGCCTAAGAAATCTGTAAACAACACATTTTGAATATCATGACTGCAATGTTTTATCTTTCAGCCACAAATTATTCGGTCCCCCCGGACGTGTAAGCAGTGGTATTCGCTGCCCAATGTTTACCCCAAAATTTCAATTATGATTTTTCCGTTGGTGAGCTCAATCGTTTTTATAGATATGTCATTATAAGGTGACCTTACGAAAGTACACTTAAACACGATGATAATCATTTACAATACTAAAAATTTGACTGGCTCTGGGACATACATAAAGTGTACTTTGGTTAAGTAGTAAATGGCGCAATAAATCCCATTGTATACTATTTATTGACAGTGCTAATATATCGCCGCAAGCTATTCGTAGATCCTACGAATATTCCGCTGGAAATTACTCGCATTAATATATTTCTATTGTTCCTTTTAAATATACACACACAGGCGCATTAGGATCACTCGTAGGAATGAATTTCTCGCATTATTCTAACATATCATAAAGAATTTTTTCAGTAGTGAAATATGGTTAACTTCTCGTATAATTAATAATATGATGTTATGTATATCACCAAAATAACCAAATTGTCGACTGGAAAGAAGAAGATTTTTACTGTTACTAATAAGCGAAAAACAAAACAATCCGGGATAGTTAGTTAGGTGAAATCAACCTTGACGAATTCGCAGCGAATATTTCTCTAGCAATTATTAATCGATTAAATCGCTGGGACCTAATTGCACTAGGCTGGACATGATGAGTTTTTTTCATTGTTTGCAGAGAATATCAAAAGGGTCCCTCTTTTTGTTTTAGCACGGTAAATTCTCACACTTTAGATTCTGAGTCAGCAGTCAGTTAAATGGACATAAGTGGAAGACCAACAAAAATTGGGTTAAGCGATAACCATATTTCATGTACTCAAAATGCTCCGTATATATGCACGCTTGGATCCAATGAATAATTATTTACTGAAATCGAAACTAATTTTGAGTTCAAAGATGAATTGTTCTAAGTATTGAATTGCTCCAGGTTTTACCTATTACTGTATTACTTTTTCTACGAAATTTCGATTTTTGTGAATACATATTTACGAAAATCAAGGGAAAGTGTGTTTGTTTTGGTAAGGCTGCTATATAGGACTGACTAATAGTCAACGAATAATATGTAGCAAAATATTCGCAGGGTCAGCGAATCGTTTAATTGCATTTAGTTTTCAAAGTTGATTTCAATATACGACAATAGTAGTCTTTGTAAGTGAAAGAATTTTAAAAACGAACAAAATTTTATTCTAAGTAGTCTTTGATATCTTGAAAAAATTACATGTTATTCAATTGAACATAATTTTTATTATTAAAAAATTTGATTGAAATAGATGACAAAAATTTTTTCCCGAGAAATTAAGAAATTTTTAGTGTACATCTAACAATGGATCACCAAGATGAGAACGTCATCTGTTGGGGGGAGATAGTTATGTTTATCTTATCTGAAAGAAATTACTATCTTACTGAGGAGGAAATTGTAAGGGAATGTGCCGATTTATTAGCAGTAAGTATTAACTACTTTTTACTTCTTGATTTCTCAAATATTATTGCCAAAATCTTGTAGCCCCAAATAATCTTAGTAAAACAAAATAAAATTAAAGATTCTTTATACGAACCTTAACTAAAATTATGAAATCATCGCTAAGTCCTAGGGTTGTTGAGTATCAGTTCAATAAGTGACTTAATAAGTTCCGTAAAGCACATCATTTTAAAACTTGCTTCACCATTTCGCGTCAAATCAACTGACCCAGTATTTTAGATCGGTTGATATCTGTAAATTGTATCTAACCAACAAAAGTTTCGTCTTTAATCTGCTGTCACTACTTTTTAAAGCATGTTCTACTGACAAGTTCATCAGGTACTTTTTGTGTTTTCTTTTTTTTTTTTGTCAATTTCTTAACTAAATTTCTTAACTAATTTCTTAAATAGTTTATAACACAACTATAGGTATAAGCGTCCATCTAAGATAGGACGATATATGTTCCTTAAAATGTTTCAATGTTGCTATAGTCGATGAAAAGTACTCGGAAGCATGAAGAATCCATATTTTACACATAGGTACATAGGTGCATAGGCTTCAACGGGCAGATGAAGTGTCTTTTACATAACGTCGCTTGGAGAAAAAGGTGTAAAGTGCATAAAAAATTTTTAATTTTTTGACGTTACTGAAATCTGAAATGTAGTTATTGCACTTCTAGTTCTTCTTCATATAAAAAAAAAGTACTAAAGCATATTTTTTTAAGAGCATTTTTGATCGTTTATTTTGACTTTGTGAATTAAAATTAGCACTTTCTACTTAAAGCCGACGATGTGCAGTTCTGTACTTTTAGATAATCGTTTCGATGAAAATTGGAATCACATCATAGCATATATCGTTTTGTTATAAGTAAAATAGACAGCACTGATACAGACTATTAAACAGTATACAATGCTATCGTTCATTAGGTTTTACCTAACAGTTTTTCAGTTATTATACGAAATCATTTGATTTCAGAATTAGTTGTTTGTTACGACTTTCAAAACGAATATGTCAAAGAAAATCTATTTACTATATTTTCTAAATTTTCTTACAAATAGAAATGTGTGAATGAAGTGCTTGATAAAGTTAGAGAGGCTGTGTCCACCGGTATCCAGCTAGGATACATTAAAATGAAAAACTTGGATATGAATCCTTGCTGCAGTAAAGATGCTTTAATGCCGTCCTACACAATCATGGACTTTGACGAAAAAAACATTCAATTCAAGCTCTATGAAAATGAAGAAATTGGAAGCGATGAACTGGATTCAGATATTTTTGAATGCAGTTCTAGTGGCAGTCTGGAGTAACAAGTGGTACCCTGCTAAGAACATGATTCCTTTTAAAAAAGTTCGACAATTTTTAGGTAAGTTTATATAAAATTTTTTTTTTAAAAAATTACAACTGCAATTAACAATAAATCATTTATGATTTATAGGGTGGACTATATAAACTGTTTCTAAAAATAATAACCAAGAGGGATATATGAACATACATGTGTTTATACATTTTCATGCATTTATAATATTTTCTAGTTATATAATTTTACTGGATTTTATGCCTCGCAACCACTATTGAAATCATGTTCATTCGTTTTAATAATCTGTTGGTGCTTGAGGGAACTGATCATCAGTAATCAAATACTAATATTGTTAATTGTAATGAACTCAAGAAGAAATCTTCATATTGTGTCAATATGAAACACCTATAACTGAATTTTTACTCCAACCACAATAAAAAGTATCTGTTGGCAGTTTCTGCTAATATGACATGTCTATATTTCGGTACTATTTATCTGGAATATAATTTATTATGCAATATGTAATATATGTCTATTGCAAACATATTTTTAAGCTCTTAAATAAAATCTCTTTTTACTAATATAATCTTTTATATAACATAATCTTAATTTCACGTCTTTGTCGAAGGGTTAAAACAGCTAAAAGTACTTAAATTTCATAAAAATAAAATTTTATTAGAATTTTATCAAATGTCGGTATATATAGTAAATATTTTCTCAAATTTCTATTTCTATCTATTTCTATTTTATTACTAATATATTTCTATTTTAATTCTTTTCTATTTCTATTCTATTTCTATTATATTTCTATTCTATTCTTATTCTATTTTTATTCTATTTTTATTCTATTTCTATTCTATTTATACTGTATTTCTATTCTATTTTTATTCTATTTTTATTCTATTTCTATTCTATTTCTATTCTATTTCTATTTTATTTCTATTCTATTTCTATTCTATTTCTATTCTATTTCTATTCTATTTCTATTCTATTTATATTCTATTTCTGTTCTATTTCTATTCTATTTCTATTCTATTTCTATTATATTTCTATTCTATTTCTATTCTATTTCTATTCTATTTCTATTCTATTTCTATTCCATTTCTATTCTATTTCTATTCTATTTCTATTCTATTTCTATTCCATTTCTATTCTATTTCTATTCTATTTCTGTTTTATTTCTATTCTATTTCTATTCTATTTCTATTCTATTTCTATTCTATTTCTATTCCTTCTGGGGTACCTATAAAATATTGACAAAATTCCTACATTTATTTATTTTGCTAGTTAGAAAGAAAGTTAGAAGTTAATGCACAATGCATTGAGCTTAAGTACATGTTTTTAAGCTAATTTTTAAGCTTTTGTCCTTATATATATATTTCTTCAGGTCATGTATATATGTTATATCATGTATTATATATTATACATTTTCTATTATTGTTTCTTATTATTACATGTTATATATTATTAATTATATATTGTATTTTATGTATTACATATTATGTATTATATTATATAATATATTTATCATATATTATATTATTGTTATCACATTATTCTCGAGTGCACCTGTGTTTTGTTTTGAATTCATCATGTTTTTTTCTGCAAGGAGTATTCCTGTGCTGGACCCATAACACTTTCATAATGATATAGTATGTCTTGAAAAAGAAGTTGGGCCGCAAGGATTTAACTTGGTTATATTTATCGCAGCTATATTTGTTTAAAATCATTATTATTGATTGATGTAGTATTATAACTATAGTTCTCTCTGAATTAATTATGTTAGAAGTTTGTTATATTATTAATATCAAATTATTGTTATTGTGACAAGTTTATTGATTCTACAGTTGTTAGCATGCAACTTTCAGAAAATCATCAAATTATTTTTATCCAGATTTCACGTACTTTAAGTCGTAAAGAGGTTAACACTCATTCACGTCTTTCGCATATTTCAATTGCAATAAATTTTTCGTTTCAATCATTTTTATGAAGGAGCCAAATAAAGTCTTTGAAGTTTGTTAATAGTAATAGTAAAAGGTAGCCTCATCATACGCTATATCCTATAAAAAATTGACGTATTCAAAACCTTTCATGTTCATCATTTGTTTTGGTTTGTTTGCCTAATTTTTGTGGTATTGCTTCACCTTTTCAATAAAATAGGACGTCTTGAAGTTGAAGTTGTCAAATCAACACGTAATTTCTCTTAAATAAGGCATTAGAACTACTTTAAGAAATGGTATTAGTTTTCTTCGCCTATTCAAAGTACTCGTACTTTCAAAAATTTGTTGTACGTACCTTATACTTCACAGAGTCACGTACTAACGTGACCCACATATCAAATTTCAAAATTACAATAAACTTTGGTGAAACTTGACAAAAACTTTTGGCCAAGGAAAAATGAAGCGCAAATTTGTATAAATTTTCGATAAATTACATCAAATCAAGCTGAAAACACTCGAAAGACCATATTAACCCAGAAATTGTAAATTAGATTTGCTTTGAAACAAACATACTTACTGGCCTTTTCCATGTACGGACACAGATACTCGAATACTCGAATATAAAGCGGCCATTTATTTACTCGTATTCGGCAGACATTCATAAAAATGTACTGAAAGGCAAAAACAAAAAAAAAATATTATCGAAATATCCTTCAGAAAGGCCCACACACCACACACAACACCTCTCCGTATTCCGGCAGTTGGCACGAACAGCGCGCTTGGACTACCTACGAATAGAGATGGTCAATCCGAAATTGTTGCCTTTTAGTTGGTGTTGATGGTGCCAAGTTTAAGTTCGGTTTCGGTGTGCACTTCTCGAGAATTTCTATTTTTCATGTGTTTTATTATTTTTGCTTTTGGCTCGACTTAGACCATGTCAAGCATAATAATCTCGAAAAAGTGTTCGCTTGCAAAATTTTTTTCCCATTCAATTCCCTACATCGCACAAATACAACTGCATATGTGCGAGTGTGGCGTTGACGTATACCCAAAGCATATTAATATAAACTAGATAAGGATATATACTCGTATGAGTGTATGTGTGAGTTGTGTATGTGTGAGTTATGTATGTTTTGTGTTTTTCCTGTATGGTCAACACAAGACCATGTTCAAAAGCGAAGTATCCGTTCAGCGAGAAAAAATTCACTTTGGCATGATATTTTAGGGAAAAGGCATAAAATGCCGGAAGCGGCATGCATTTCCTGCCAGAAAAGTGTAAGCACTTTACAGTTACTTTACAGTTACAATGCAAACGATATTTCGAAAGCCTGTTGGTATCGGAGTAGGAATTGAAACCGAAACTGGACAAGGACTGTAAAAAGTGGAATATGTAAATGCTGAGCGAAAAGGATTGTGAGCGACTGAGTCTTTAAAATTTTATTTTTCAATATTAATTTAGGTTAATTAATTCTTTTTATTTGTATAGACAAGAATATAATTCAAGAAATAAAAGCAGAGAAAGACTAAAGTTTTGCATATGTGAGAAATGTCAATGGAATACCATTCTATGAGAATGCAGTTTTTGCACAATTAGATGTCGTATTTTTGTTCCTATTATTATAAAATACTTTTGTTATCAGTATAGCGTAGGTGTCTCACAAAATCTCTTTATTTCAAATAGGTTCTGCGCTACTTATATTTAGTATATTGGTTTTTCTGTGCTCGTCTCTGAACCAATGCCCTTGAATGTTAGTCTAGTGTATCCAACAAGGTCTTTCTTCCTCATTCTTCACAGATATTGGATGTGAACTTGCAGTGGTTCAATACTTAAACTATTGTCTCACATCAAGTCACGTCCAGTTCACGTCTAGAATTAACCTTCTCAGGGACAACAGTTCCATGGCTGTGACTCTTCTAACAGCTGCAGGACTCGCAGAACTCGTTCTTTTTTAACTATCTCTCGACTTGCATAACAATTATGGCTTAGCAGCTTATTTTATGATATTTCTTTCCGCATTATTGTATAGTGGTGCTTAGATAACTATATGTTTTAACTTCTTCTAGTTAGACCAATAAGTAAAAGATGTTCATATGTTTTATCTATTGCACTGCGTCGCATTACCATTTTCGGGATTAATAGTCATAAAGTGCGGTTTCCAATTAGCTAACTGTATTTTGGAACTTTTGTATCTGATACCAGACTTAATATATAAAATAAAAATTTGGAGCTCCTCTATTACTGGTCTTTCAAAAATGTCTCAATAAAGATTAAATAAATTTATTCAAAAATTCTCTAAATTACATGGGTTAGAAGTTGACTAAATACGCTATCTATATAAAAAAACCCACAGTTATTCAATAAGATTATAAAAAAAAACCCGACTAGGCATTAATTCAGAACAGCCGTGATATTTTCCAAAGCAGATTAGAATATGATATATTATAATACTTATGCCTTTGTAGTACTCAATATGGTCTTAGAAATTTCTTGATATGAAACTTATATTCACACCAAAAGTAAAACAGTAGCGTATATGACATTTTTAGTTTTGAATATTCTGTGCCAATAAAAACAGATTGCCTATTTAGAAACATACTTTTAATTTGTTTTTTCGGATACGTTCCGGATTGAATCAGAAACTAGTTTCCGAGTTTGAAATGTGACAAATACAAATACATATGCAAATACATATGAAATTGTTTTACAATTTCTTGAGAGTACAGAAAATCACTTTGGTGATGATAATATGGTCAATAAACTCTATGTCAAGGAAGACATCGTCGTACATTTTAATTTTTAGTATTATTAATAGCCATATTAATAACCTTAAAATAACATTTGTTTACTCAATGATATTTTGAACTATTAAACTCTGCTTTAAACTATCTGGTATGCATCCAATTAAAAATTTATTAACATTCATTCATCTCCAGAACTCGCATGCCTATAAAATGGATCGAATTCTTGTTGTATGAATATGCTGCTCTTCAAAAAACGCGAATGATATTGTTAGAATGATGTAATGTCATAATTTGATGAAGTGGTTAAGTAGGAGAATCTTATTGTTATTTTATTTATTAAAAGTTTTGACGTGAAATCACCCAACAGTCGGTACTTTCGCCAGGGAAGTCCTATTGTATCAATTTCACTATTGATAACATAAAGCCCTTTAAAGTATTGTGAAGAGAGTCCAGACCTCAATCTGGAGACGAGCTCCTTATCTGTTCTGGTGACAGAACATACGAAACAAGTTTCTTCTGTGTGTTATTAACAGTCATGGACAGTCATAAAGAATATACATGCTAGTTTTCTCATCTTCAAGGCATAATCTTCCGGATTAGCAGATAGTTATAGATTATGAAGGTGACATTTCAGACCATAATGACCTGTAATAAAACTCATTAACAACCTTAAATTACATTTTGAGAATTTAAGAATGTTTTTGTAGGAGTACGATTTATCACTGCTTTGCTAAGTCCTGGTAAGTCTTCTCAGTACTCCAGTCGCATGTGATTTTCTCTCGTCTTGATAATTTGTTTTGTACTGGACCTGTTAAACCCACAAAAGGGGTTGAGGACCTGTAAAACCAGTTATTGATGCAGTTCTGTATTATTTTCAATATGTTGTATATTATTTTCAATAATATAGAACATCTGTAAATCTTCTATTTTACTGACAAGATATGCACAGTTCAAGGGAGATACATTTTTATTTCTATACTTACTATATGTCTACATTTTAAGCAATTTTTTTTCGAAAATCTCCGATACGTCTCCAGTTCTACAAATTTTACTGGTCCAAGTATGTATTGATGTTTTAAATTTTCATTGTCAAATTTTATAAAAGAGATCAGTAAAAAAATTAAAAAGTTCATTGAAAAAAATAATAGAAACCACATACAAAAAATTTCGATATAAAAATGGTAAAAAATTAATTTTTAGGTTTAGCGAAATTTCAGTTTTAAATTTTTCAAGAAAATAAATCGAAAATGGCTGGACTTATTCCATGCGCAAAGTCTGACACTCACTGTAAATTTGTTGGCAATCAGTTAGTTGAACCCGAAAAACTGGCTTTGTCATGTACTCAGCAGAATGCAAGCCTAGAACCAGTTTTTTCTGATATGATCGGAGAGTATCCAAACATTGATGTGGACTCTTCATTCAAAATGAAACATTCTGGTTTCTTTTATGAATCATGCGATGATTATCCGCAATCAGATCAAAACCAAAACACACCAAATACTAGTGAACATATACTTCAGCAATGTAGATCGTCAGCAACAGACATCGACGATTCTGACACGATAAAGCAATCAAATGTTGATTCCGACGATGAACTAAACTGCACTTCATATACTATTGTAAATAATGAATTCACTGACAATGAAAAGAACAAAACACACCTGTCTGCAATGAAAACTGATGATGTTCGAAATAGAAACAGGAAGGTAATTAATAAATATCTTCATACATCTTCTATTTATATTGATCATTTTATTTAGAATAATTATAAAGTGCCTGCCTTGTTACGACGACGAAGGGGCGTTTATAAACGTAAACGAATTAGAAGGCAAGTGATCGATCCCGTGGAACCCGCCGAGCAGATCAATAATTTTATTACCATAAGTTTCCCAAATATTGATCTTGAACGTACTTTTGGCACCGAGTCTTTGAATAAACATGTGGAAGACTTTGTAAAAGCGATACGCAGTAGAAGTCCTTGGGCAGATCAGCCTTTCCTGGAATCTTCGAAGCCGTGTCTTTACTGCAAACATTGTCATTACCAAACAAAGTTCTGACACTCTTCGTAGTATCAAACTTGTACCCATAGCAATACACCTCACCTCACCTTACACACTGAGGTGTATCCAGGGTATACATTTGTATACATTTCACAGATGGTGAAATGTATGTAAATGTGTACCCATGAGCAAATGGATTATTCTAGATAAACAGAGAGGAAGGGATCTTGCAATGAACAACCAGCACATGGGGACTGCAATCGGACGCACCATCTAGCCATAAACAGAAAATTGGTAGTTATTTGTTAAAATATGAAATTAAAAATGTATATTAAAAAAGAAAATGTTTTGTATATTGTCTAATATATGAATCTTATATGATAATTTATATAGTATACATAAATTAAATAATATATAGAATACGCATGTATTAAATTATTGCCAAATACACCACAAATACAGAAAATTAAATTTTTTTTAAATTCTCACAAAAGTACAACCTTCCTTCAGACGTTGATGACAGGGTAATAGCATATCATTTAGTCATGCGAGTATCTGTATAATATGGCGCTATATAACCTATAAACTGACAATCAGAAAGTCATGAAATTTTGAAATATATCTCCACAAATCACTTGGGCTTATCTACAGTATTGTTATATACCTATATATCAGACTGGTGAATTTCTCATAGAAATAGTTATTAACAAAACTAGATGTTTTGAATTGTAAATATATATATATATATATATATATATATATATATATATTGATGTAAGAGTTGCTATGTAGAACTAATGAAACTATGTGGGGTCTCAGTGGATAACCTAAGTTGATTGCCTTACATGGAAGTTTGAAGTTTAAATTAATTCTCTTAGCATTGTGGTCCCCAATGCTAATATAGAAAGCTGCTATACTCCATTCATTTTTTCCAATTTCAATTACTTTACGTCCCAACTTTTTGTTCTTGTTGCTCTGATCCATCGATGTTGTTGTGATAATTCTTAACGATTTCTTTTGTCATCGGCAAACAATAAAGACTGTAATAACTGCCACATGAGCAACAGTAACAGCGGCGGTAACAGTCGCAGCAACAGTGAAAGCAATCCTTGGTATTAATCTCTCAATAAATCAATCACAAAAAATTCATATTTCGAGAGTTCGAAAAGGACAAGGAACGGCGCTGCAGTAACGTGCCAAAAGTTAGTGCAAAAAATATTTGTTTTAGCGTTTTGTAAACTCTCATTCGTCTTTGTCAGCGAGTGTCACCACTCGGTGTTGTTATTGCTGTTCTTAACAGTTGAAACTGCCATTGCCGGTACTCTAGTAGCAAAGGAATTTGTGTTGCCTCTCCTAGCCTCATCCTCTTTTATACGCGCAGCTTACATTCGAAGTGCTGCCATCATTGACATCTTCAACGCTTTCACCTCTGTGATGACAAATCGCATCCAGCTGCTATGCAATGGAGAAAAAACACAACGAGGCAAGTGGGAAGTCTCGCTTGACACTTTTTCACCGCTTGGTACTGAAAGCACCAGGATAAAGCAATGATATATTTGAAAATTGCAGAGGAAAAAAATTATAAATAAATTGTAAACTGTTGTACATCAGAACGCATTACCACACATGCACAGAGATTTGAGTGCAGTGCGGCTGCCGGTAAAAAAAGATGAAGATCGATTTCCGTTCCATTTTTCTCACGTTACTTTCAAAATTTCATATTATTATTTTTTACCACCATTTCTTTCACAAATTCCTTCACATTCTTCACATAAAAGTTTCTGGCACATAAATAATTGTATTCAAGCATGTATGTCACTCCTGCTCACCTTAGCAGATTTGCGGAATGCAGGTGCATAACTCCGTTTACGGGGTTTTGTTATAAAATACACTTTTTCAATTTTATCCTCTGAAACTTTCATTCATGTAATAAACGAAAAAAGAATATTTCATAAAAGGCTATATTTTTAATATTATGATCAGTTTTCTGGATCATAATAGAACTACAACTTATATTTTGCTGGGGAAGTACGCGGACCAATCTAAATAAAACTCAAATGGTTAATTATTTCCTAATATCTATATTTGTATTTTGTTGGTGTCCAATTATGGCCGAGCTATTATTATGTGGCTATAAGTCATCGGGAGTTACCTCAAAACGATACCATAAGATATCAGGTGAAAAACACTTGAGTAATCTTGTATTTCACACCTAATGGCAAGGCCGAAACAATATATGAAAAATTGAAATGTCGTTCACTAGTGCAAGTTAGTTAATTTTTATATCGAAACCACAAAATATACAACAAACCAGTCTTCCACGCTGGAAGACCGTAAAGCATGAGATAAGACTGGAATAGACCTTCAGACGTAGCGCTACTGTTATATCGCATAGAACTATTATAGTGCAATCATATATCTGGTTTCCACCAAATGCATCATGGACATGGAGACGTGCAGATTTATCTTTAAACTGTGCAAAATCAGTTAAAAATTAATACAGCCTCCTTTAGAGTCTACAAAACTGGCAACTTTATTCTAAATTCATTTTTGCATAATTTTGTTTTTGGTAAAGCGTTGACCAGGCACCGAGCACCGAACACCGAATACCGAGCACAGGTACTACGGTTACGACCACGGCGACGCACTTCACCGGCAACAGCCATAAAAGTGCAACTGCAGCAGCAATTCCAACTGAGTTTGAAAATTGAAGTCCGGTAAGTGTGCAGTGGTTGGAGCAGCGAAAAATGCTTAACGTGGTCGGTTTTACCCACAGGACTTAGCCTTCGTGCTGCTTGGCAGGACGCGCCCTACAATTGGCAGGAATCAGGAAGTCAGAGCTATTCGCGGCCATATTTTTGTTAGAGTTTTCACGCGAACTTTATGTTGCATTTGCATTTGCATTTGCATTTGCATTTGCTCTAAATTTTTTTAGAATGTGTAATGAGTTTTTAATTAGGATTCTGTATATGTACTCCATATAAGTGCCGACGTGAAATATGCACAGATATCCGCTAAGCACTGTAACTTCACATATATTTATTTTAAAGTATTGTATATTATGTTGTGTTTTAATTTCAAAATATTTTTATTAGAGTTCCATGCGCTCAGTGATATGTATTTCGAGCGTCCAAGTTAACCGAGAAGTCAAAAATCGAAAACAAAATTTTCCTAAACAGAGAACTGCGAACTATCAGGAATTTTGCATTGAATGGGTCCGCATTATTGTAGTTTCAATGTGCGCAGCCGGTTTGCTTCATTATTCCGCTCACATGATACTATGATACTGGGTACAGCGGATACGATTGGTTGGTTCAGTGCGGATTGTTCAAAACATGTGGAACCATTGCATGATGAGTGCGAAGGGATGTGTTGGGTTCTATTTAATTGTGGTCCGTTGTAGTGAAAGTTTGTGGTTAGGTAAGTTGGTTATAAATAAAATTAATTTGAAGCATCCTTGCAGTACGAATGCATGCCATACGGTGAACTTGGGTAAATGTGAATGCATTCCAATTGTTGGATTGCGGGTAAACTGGTTAAAACAAAGTATTAGGAGTAAATTAATTTTCACATTCAGTAATGATAGCGGAAAAAAATTTGGAAATAAATTTCTTATAATTATTTTTTTTTTAATATATAAAATAATATTTTAACAGAATGCACACACAACAGAATTAGATATTTATATTAGATAAATTCTTACATAAAATAATTAATTAAGAAAGTGGTACTTTATTATCTTTTTTAGTAATACTTACTAAGTTTGTCATTAAAAACGCAAGTCTTCCCAGGCTGCGTTTAGTAGCCTTCTTTAATCAACCCGTTCACTGGGTTACAGTCGGCAGTTGGTTGTACTGAGTGTTTTTGTAATGACGATCACCTGGTCTTTCAAGCGAAGATGTGGACGTCCTCTACAACGTTTTCCAGCTGGGAGTACCGAATCGAAGCTCCAGTAACTCTTGGGTATTCCTGCTGTCCATTTTAGTGAGCTCCCAAGTATTGGTCTAGTTTAAGTATCTGACTTTAAAAAAAAAAATATATATTCTAAAATATTTTAATAAATAAAATTTTTTATTGGAACTATCAACTCGTTTCTGTTTTTGGTTTTTTTTTGTAGTAGGTGGAAAGCATCGAAAGCCACAGTGTGAGACTTGAACCCACTAACACCACTTCTTAGGAATGATGGGAATTCTCCCATTTCCATAGTATTAAGGAAACCTCACTCTAGTAATCAGATGTGAACAGAGAGATGTGAACATACGTAGCGAGCTAGGATCTCTTTTCTGTTTATAGGAATATAATTATTTTAGACTTTTGAAACTCTGATTTTAAGCTTTATCTTATAATAATCAAAAATCGCTAAAAACTTCAGCATATTCAGCATCTCAAGCATAGGACAAGTTTCACAATTATTATATTATTGATTTATTATCAATTCTCAATCCAGTTAATTAAATGTGAAAATGTGAAAATAACTAAACAACAACGCGTTTTGGAAGAATTGTTTACGGCGTTACCCCAAAACTAAACACATGCGTTATTATTCAATAAGGACTTGCCAAAATGGACTTGATCCAATTGTTTGCATACACAACATTAGTTGATTTTTTATGAACTTTTATGAATTTCTATTCATTTTGTTTGTGGAGTAAATAAGGCTTTTATAATAAATCGAATTTTCATTCAGCTTTTGCGCTTTAAAATAAAACAATTGCGACTGTTTGCGGAACACAATTAATTATTGACATAAGTCGCCTATTATGCACGGCTTTGTCCCTCGAACAATGGCTCGGCTTACTGTTCAAAAACACAGAATATCAGCTGCACAAAAAGCTAAAATTAAACATAAACAAAGTCAACATTATTTTATTGTGTAGTAGTGAGTACACAAAACACAAAACACAACACATCACACAATACACAATACACAATACACTGTAAACAAAAAATTGTTTACTTATTTATTTAGAATTGCAATTCTTGGTAATGCCTTGCGTATACGCAACATAATTACGAATTTATTATATTTGTTATTAAAAACGAAAAATTAATATATACTAGAAACTCATACAAAACAACAACAACAACAACAACAACAACAACAACAACTGCCATAACAAAATAATAACAAAAATCGATGGGTATAAATTTATGTAAATAATTAGTTACAATACATATGTACATAATACTTGAGAGCAGTACTTAGTGGGCCCACGTTTGGGATGAGGAGGTATATGAGTTCAGAAATGAAATTTTAGTTCATAAAAGTGAATTCACCACAAAAAAAAAAGGATTTTCAGTTACACAAATACTGAACAGACCAAAATATCATCCTGGCAGG